GCTGAGCATGACTCCCTCAGGAAGGTGTGTGCATCCTGACGGGGCTGGGCTTCGGAGGCCATGGCAAGGATGGAGAGGCCAAGTGGGACGCCTGCGCCAACATGAAGGTGTGGCTCTTTGAGACAAACCCCCAGTTCAGCGGCACCATCGCCTCCTTCAACATCAACACCAACGCCTGGGTGGCTCGGTAGGTGCCGGTGCGCTTGTCCCCACTGAGCATGGGCAGCTGGAGGGCTCTGCAAGGCCCGGGTCAGGCGTCACCCCGCACAAGCTGGTGGCTTGCTGCTGTCCCCACAGCCGCGTTAGCACTGCCCCCTCCCCTCGACGGCCCACTGCTGCCTTGAGGCTCAGCCAACCCTCTCCTCTAGTTACTTCTTCAAACGCCTCAAGTTCCTCGGAAATAAGCAGCTGTCCCATGGTCTCTCATTGCTGTTCCTCGCCCTCTGGCACGGCCTCCACTCAGGGTACCTGGTCTGCTTCCAGATGGAGTTCCTCATCGTGATTGTGGAAAAGCAGGTGGGACTGGGGGCGCGTGCCAGGGCAGGGAGGAAGTGGGCTGGACACCGACACCTGCTCTCCCTCCTCCCAGGCTGCCGCCCTCATCCAAGACAGCCCAGTCCTCAGCAGCCTGGCCGCCGTCACTGCCCTGCAGCCCTTCTACTATGTGGTGCAGCAGAGCATCCACTGGCTCTTCATGGGCTATTCCATGACTGCCTTCTGCCTCTTCACGTGGGACAAATGGTTTAAGGTGGAGGAGGGCACCTGGGCAGCCGGGCACCTGGGACACACCGTGCCCCATGCCCGCTCACTGGCTTCTCCCACCACAGGTGTATAAATCAGTCTACTTTCTCGGCCACGTCTTCTTCCTGAGCCTACTATTCACATTGCCTTACATTCGCAAAGCAATGGTGCCAAGGAAAGAGAAGTTAAAGAAAATGGAATAACCTGTTTCCACGGTAAATAGCCCAGAGCTGGGCTGCAGCTAGCAGGGTGTTGCCACAAGGCCAGTAGGCAAGGCCAGAACTGGAACCCTGGGAATTCAAGGTGCCTGCGACTGGGGCTCCTTGAGGCCACAGTGGGGCAGTGACCAGCCTCCCTCCACTCTCATGTCTTGCCTTACAGGTGGCCTGGAGCAGGACTGGTGCAGAAACCTCTTGCCCTCTCGCAGCACTTCCTCCCTCGCCCAGAGTACAGAGCAGGGGAAAGCAGGGAACCCCCACAGCTCCGGTTCCAGCTGTGCCTGCCTCATCTTCGCCAAAGGGGAGGCTCTTGTGGGCCAGGCCCCAGGCTCGCCCACACCCGTTGCCTTATCTCTCCCCTCTGGCCAGGAATCCACCCTCCTCCTGCCAGTTTACCAGGGCTCAGTGCCGCCCCCGTGGGGGAAGGGAGGGTGCAGGGCCCTGCCTGCTCCACTTTTTCTATCTTGGAACTGTACCAGATAAAGTCACTTCTGTTGGTTTGGTTTTTCACTGCTGGCACCCTGATTGCTTTCTTTCACTCCTTCCTTCTCATACTGGAGGCAGGAGTCTCAGAGTCGTCCCTTTAGAGCGCGAGAATCCAGGGGCTGCTCTCACAGCTGGAATCCAGCCCCAAAGTGCCAGCTCCAACTTCACGTCTGCCCCGCAGTCTGCCCTTGTAGACACTGCAACCCGAGGAAGCCCCAGACAACCAACCAGGTTTGAAAGAAAAAAAACACATTTATAGGACAAAGAGCAAATGTACAGCGTGGGCCCCTGGCTCCCAGCAGTCGGTTCAGAGCACCCCCCACACTTCCTCAAAGGCTGTGGTGAGCTTGGCGCAGGTGAGGGCAGCAGACAGCGGGTAGTTGCTGATGGACACCGTCTTCTCCACATACTCCACGCCAACCTGTGAGACAAGGCCCCGTCAGCCAGCTGCTGCCTGTGGGCCCAGCCTCCTCAGGAAACTAGCACTCCTGAGAGCAGGAAGGAGATCTGGCTCAGTCTGCTAAAGCACCCTCCTGGCACAGGACGGGGACTCTGATTTGTCCTCTAGCTGCTACCCCACCCTCTACTCCCAGGCTTTTATAAAGACTGCTAACCTCTAACTGCTCGGAGTTCTTCTGGAGCCTTCGCTCCATGAGGGAGGTGAGGGTTGGGCCCAAACTTTACCTTGCCATGGGCAAAGGCCCCTACCACGAACACAATGGGCTCGCTACTAGGCACCAACTCTCGCACATCACTGGCGACTGGGACAGAAAAAGAAGTGCCAATCTTCATACAGCCAACTGGGAAATGGTCAGACACTGGATTCTTGATTACCTGGGGAAAGGAAGGAAAATCAGCCCAAGATACAGCCCCCACACCTTACCCCTGCTGTGGGTTTCAATACCTCACCTTCAGAAGCTTTTGTGGGCCATCAGCTGCTCGAACACTCAGTTTGTGTAAAAGCTGAACTGGAAAAGAGTCCAAAACTAGGTGGAAACATCTGGGAGGCTGAGGTAGGAGGACCCCCCCCCCATAAATCTGAGGCCAGCCTGGACTACATAATTCAAGGTCAGCCTAGAATACATGTAAAGACCCTGCTTCAAAATTAAAAAAAAAAAAAAAAAAAAAAAAAAGGAACGGG